AGCAAGAGGAACTAACATTCATTGTTGATGGGAATGTAATGTGGTACAGCTACTTTGGAAGATAGTTTGGCAGCTTCTTACAAAACTAATCATACTCTTATGTGATCCAGCAATCATGCTCACTGGTATTCATTTAAAGGAGGTGAAAACATACATCCACACAAATACCCACACAGAGATGTTTACAGTAGCTTTATTCATAATTGCCAAAATTTGGAAGCAACCAAGATGTCCTTCAGTAGATGAACGAATAAAGAGAAATACAATCATACAATGGAATATTATTCAGTGATAAAAAGAAATGAGCTATCAAGACATACCAAACAATATGGAGGAAACTTAAATGCATATTATTAAATGAAAGAAGCCAATCTTAAAAGGCTACATACTGTATGATTCCAATTATATAACATTCTATTGGGTTGTCGGAAAATTCATGATGCATATTTGCAACAGATGGCACTAGTTTATTTTTGGAAGTACTAGAGTCTTTCACATCTATGTTATTACTATGTCATTTGACAGTTGACAGTTCTAGCTTCATTCTAAAAAAAATTGAGCGATTTAGTTGAGTTTTGGAGATTTTACAAGTTGAAGATGGAAGACCAAACTGCATTTTTGCCATATTTTATTGTTTTACTTCCAAAAAAGGGAAGAATGTGCATCAAGCTTGTGAAAAGTTGCATAAAGTTCATAGTGACAATGCTCTACAAGAACATCATGTGCCAACGATGGTTCACAAAATTCCGTGCTGGTGATTTTGATCTCAACGACGCTCCTCAGACAGGGAAGCCCACCGAGGTTGATGATGACAAAATAAAGGCATTGATCGAGTCAAACCCTCATTACATGACACAAGAGATTGCAGAAACACTGAACATCCATCATTCAAGCGTTCATGACCACCTGAAGAAGCTGAGATACGTAAGCAAGCTTGATATTTGGGTTCCACATGAACTCAAAGAAGTTCATTTTATGACGCGTATAAACATCTGCAATTTGCTCATTAAACATGAGGAAAACGATCCTTTTTTGAAGCGACTGATAACTGGTGATGAGAAGTGAATTGTTTACAACAATGTGGTGTGCAAACGGTCTTGGTCCTGACGTGATGATTCGCCTCAAACAACATCGAAAGCAGACATTCATCAGAGGGAAGGTTATGCTCTCAGCATGGTGGGATTTTAAAGGTGTCGTGTTTTTCGAGCTCCTACCAAGGAACCAAACAATCAATTTGAATGTGTACTGTCGGCAATTAGACAGTTTGAATGAATCCATCATCCAGAAATGTCCAGAGCTTGTTAATTGTAAAGGGGTTGTGTTCCATCGCGACAACGTGAGACCACACACAAGTTTGATCATCCGTCAAAAATTATTGGAGCTTGGATGGGATGTGTTGCCACGCCCACCATACTCTCCTGACCTTGCGCTGTCAGACTGCCACTTGTTTCACTCTCTTCAAAACTCTTTGCATGGTATAATGTCCAATTCATATGAGGCTGTATATCAGCACCTTGTTCAGTTTTTTGCAAATAAAGACAGGTCCTTCTATGAACAAGGAATTATAAAGCTCACTGAAAGATGGCAAAAGGTTATCGAACAAAACAGGCAATATATCATTGATTGATCTTTGTTCTTTATATAAATAAATGACCTTTGAAAACATAGACAAAATACATCATGACTTTTCCGACAACCCAATAGAAAAGGCAAAACGAGGGCAACAATAGAAAGATCAGTGGTTGCCAGGGGTTAGGAAGCAGGGAGGAACAAAGAGTCAAAGAACTGAGTATTTTTAGGGCAGTGAAACTATTCTATATGATACCATAATAGTGGGTACATGTCATTCGACATTTGCCAAAACCCATAGTATGTGCAACACCAAGAGAGAACTGTAATGTAAACTATGAACTTTGAATAACAATAATGTACCAATGTAGGTTCACCAACATGTGTCACTGGTGCAACATGTAGCTAATGGTGGAGGCTGTAAATGTGTGCAGGCAGGAGGTATATGGAAACTCTCTGTACTTCCTGCTCAATTTTGCTGTGAACCTAAAACTGCTCTAAAAAATAAGGTATTTTATTTAAAGGCACTGCAGGTAGATGTCCAATATATTAGGCCACATGAACAACAAAGCGGATGGTATCACTTTCCAGAACCCACCAGTGGCATCAAAAAGGGGCCCCACCAATTTATCCTTTATCTGGCCCCTACTAGCATCTTAACACAGCCCAAAAGTCATATTCTGTGTTCTCAAACAATCCTTGTTTTCAGGAGCTAAAAATGGTGAACCTCAGTGACTCAATAAGGAGGGAGGTGAAGGAAGCAGCAGGCGTTGCTGGTTGGTAATAACAAAAAGGCCCTGTTTGGGAATTGTGTCCAGTGCACTGCAGGAGAGCTCTGTTGGTACCTCAACGGAAGCCAGCTGTGCCAAGCCAGCTGAGTTATCCTCTGGCCCTGGCCCAAGAAAGAACCTCCCTGAAATACCTGCCAAATTCCACAGTCACTTGTGAAATGTAGGTCACCCTCTGGAGGCCTACAAGAATCATCATAACCCTAAAAGAGACAGCCACAGCTAAAGAGGCTTCCTCATTGGCTCTGACTTTTTTCTCCTTGCACCATTATATTGTTCATTTTGTTGCTGTCCTCTGAAATCCCTCTGGTTTATCCCAATGTCAAGGGTTCTGCTTGCCCTTCTCTTTAACAAGACAGTGCTAAAACAGTTACTCTTGGGACCTTGCCAAGAGGAGACTAGAACAAGCTCCAACCTTCCTCCCATGAGTATGCCCTGAGTGCATCCTCCTGAAAGGGCCTGTGTCTCCCATGCTAAGGCAATGTAAACACACCTGTGCCTAGGAGCACCCCCTCTCAAGACCAGGTATGTGGCCGCATTTCCACCAGCAGATGGGAAGGGCAGTTATAAAGGACCCTGTACACCCAATAGACCTGGAGACAAACTCATCTGGGGGACCATCTTATTTGCATGCCAATCCATTCCAAAAGAATTTCAGTTTGCTTGCAAAAATTAGTAGAGTTGGTAACATAACATAAAGATGAATGACAAAAATGGGAAGTTGAGGGGCTAGGATCTTCTGAATTGGGAGTGGGGAAAAATTGACAGCAATTTAAAGGTCTCTAACTTCATCTTTTGCACCTCATTCTTTCCCTGCTGTACTGCTTCTCCATGATTCCAGCTCTCCTGTCAAAGTCACCAAAGCCCCTACAGTGCTAAATTCAGTGGCCGATTCTGTCCTAACCTTACTTGAGCCACTCGTAGAATTTACAGAGCTGATCATTGTCTCCTCCCTCGAAAATATTCCCCCCTTGTTCTTCCTCTTGACCAGCACCTCCTTCTTTCTCTGGTTACTTCTAATCTCTCAGCTTCTTAAAACTGGAATGTCCTAAGGCTCAGTTTTTAGAACTCTTTTCCTTTCTGTCCTCAGTACCCTCAGTACGAGCGGGATCTCATCCTGCTTCACAGCGTTAAATACTAGGCCACATGCCCACTACTCCCAAGATTTAATCTCTAGCCCAGACTTCTCCCCTGAACTCTAGACTCTTGTATCCAACTGCCCACTCAGCTTCTTTACTCAGATGCTTAACATACATCTCAAACTCAGAACTGTCCCAAACAGAAATCCTGACATCCTCGACCCACAGTTTTCCCCACTTAAGGACAACATCCTCCCAGTGTCTCGCACCAAAAGTTTTAGAGTCGTCCTTGACTCCTCACGTTCTCTTCCCACAACCAATCCATCAGAAAAATCCTATTGGCTCTACCTCTGGAATATTCCCAGGGTCTGACGACTTCTCACCATGCCCCATGTCCCCACCCCTGCGTGATCATTTTGGTACAGGCCTGAGTTATTAAAATGGTCTCCTAACTAAATTCTGTGCACCTGGCTTTGTCCCTTTCAAACTATTCTCAACACAGGAGCTAGTGTTATCCTGCTGAAATGTAAGTCAGACCCCAGTCCTCACAAGGGTCTACATGGCCCTACATGATTTATTCCCCATCACATCTCCAGCCTCCTCTCCTCATCCTCTCCTCTCAGCCACGCCCTACCAGCCACACTGGCCTCCCTGCTGCTTGAACACATGAAGCTCACTTCCACCTTTAGACCTTTGTACTTGCTACTCCTCCTGCTTGAAATTCTCTTCCCCCTAACCTCCTTTAAGCTTTTTGCTCAACTACTTTCTCAGTGAGGCTTTCCTTGCTCACCTTATTTAAAACTACAAACAGCTTCCACACTCCATCTCCCTTACCTGCTTTCTTTTCCCCATACGATTGGGTTGTAGGAAAAGTCATGACACATTTTTGCAATGAAAAACATACACAAAACACATCATGGTTTTTCCGACCACCCAATACATCCACCATTTACTGACTTATTTTGTTAATTACATCTCCCCTCACTAGAATGAAAGTTCCATGAGTGCAGGATTCATTTCTTCTATTTTCCTCTACAGCTTAATCCCTAGATCTTAAAACTGTGCCTAGCATATAGTAAATGGTTCAGTACACACATACCTTCCCACATCTACTTTGTCTATTTAACTACCATGCTAGATTCGAACATAGAGTGAAATGAAATATCCATGGAATATTAGAATTAGGCTGGTCTTAGCTTTGCCTCAATCAGCCACAACCCACAACTCATGATTATTCAAGTCGAGAATGGTAAGCCATGACTCCAATGGCAGAGAAGGAGGCTAGGGTAAGAGGTGACAAACTGAAGGTAATCAACTTTTACTAATATGATAGACACTGCACTAGGCTCTTTGCTAACATCTCATTAAATCCTTACCACCCTGGAAGCAGGCATAATTACCCCATTTCACAAATAAAATTAAAAATCACCTAAAGTCAGAGACATTCAGTTACTTGCATAGTGTCACAAATGCACAGGAGAATCAGGGTTCAAACTAGGTCTATATGAATAAAAAATTCTTGCTTTTTCCACACCAAAGGTTACTCCAGAAAAGGTAAACTAACCTTTGACACCTTTGAACATTTTTCAGACCAATTCTCCCTTCCTAGTAGTCATTCATCATCCTTGGTCTCAGTAGATCAAATACCTAGAATTGGGGCAAAAGGGATAAGAAAGAAGAAGCTAAAACTGAGCTTTTGTTTCTCAGTTAATGCTGTAAATTATCCAACAGAATAAAGAAAAAATTATCAATAGGCTGAGACCTGACAGCTTTCGGTCAGTTTTACACACATATACATGCCCACATGCACACCAAAAGCAACTAGTAGAGAGGGGAAAAAAACCAAAACAATATTAAAACTTACCACACTTTTTACCTTTACACAAATCCCTCATGAACACTGGAAATGTGCTGCTCGGTAGCTAACAATCCTGGCAGATGCTGCTTAATGCTCAAAAAAGACAAGCATATTATACCAGCATCCGCCTTGCAACAGCCCCAGAGAAAACTCTTTTCTTCCTCCCACTCACTTTCTTCTTGGGCGTTGTATACATTGCCAGTAGCCTCCACCTCCACCCAATTTACAGAAACCTGGCCCATACCACCCAGCAATTAATGTCATGAGACATGCTCTCGGCTTAGCCGAAGACACTGTCCTGGGCAATCAGGGTAGGAGTACTGAGTATTGTCAACAGGTGTTTTTCCAATACCTACAAAGTATTCACATTCACTATTCCCACTCTCATCAACTTTACCTCCTGATTATCATTTGTATGAAATTGTTCAACCAGCCAGCTTAGGTGTCCAGTGTGTAAGGACAACCAAATCAGAATGGCCCCCCAATGACTTTGCTTCTCTCACCTGGGCCTAGCTACCAAGCCAACCAGCTCACACCCAGTCTCACACAAGGAGAGTAGATAAATGCACTAGTCTGTACCCCAGCCCTAACTGAGCTGCACCTATGAACACTAAGAAAACTCAAAGATGAATATTCACAATCATTGCTGCTGGTTTTAGCAGTTAGACCCACCAGCCAATAAGAATATTTCTTGGTTGTTGGTTTAAAAATAAGACCTACTTGAGTGTGTGTGTGTGTGTGTGTGTGTGTGTGTGTGTGTGTGTGTGTGTGGCATGCACCTATGAAATGTGAGGTTGTGTTATCTAGGTACCATAGAACAAAATAAAACAAGGAGATGTAGAAAATTCTTCTTTCAAAGGACAGAAGTGCTGGTGATGTTAGAAACATGGTGGCGTGAGGGGTCCCCTCCCCCCCGATCTCTCCCCTTGAAATTACAACAAGTTGAACAGCTATAATTCAACAAAGGATTCCCTGAGCAACACACAAACACATCTGAGAGATCCGCTTATTGAAACATCTGAAGGTGGGCAAATCAGGGCAAATAGGGGAGGAGGGAAGGGAGAAGTGCAGATATGGGGACCTCAGGATGCTTCCAGGAGAAGGGAGGACTGAGACTGCAGGCGCACTCTCTGTGGCCCCGAATAATCCTGCCTGAGTGATCAGCATATAATATGGCTGAATCCAGTGCAGCAGAGACCTCAGGGCAAAGACCGAATACAGAAGTGCTACAACTGTGCACTAACAGCCCTCACTGCCAAGCAGAAAACAAAAGACTTGGAGCCTAGCCACTTCTGCCAACCCTCCCAGAATTCACCTCCCCTGTACACTCCCAGTGTCAGCTGCGGGCCCTAGAAGAAACTGTACCAGTGTCTGATTAAAAAGCAGGCTATCTACAGCCCTGAGAACTGAAGAGACAGCTCATGAGCAGCAGACACACACTACAGCTAATCCCAGTGACAAGGGAGTAGATATGGTCTGAGGCAAGGCAGCTGTGGTCTGGAAGTTGCCATTACTCAGAGATGAACAAAGCCACATACACATCAGCCTGTTCCCACCTTTCATGGCTGATCCCAAGCGGGGACACCCAGGGCTGCTGAGGTGCACAACTCTGCATCTGACTGCAGAGGCAACACTAAGATTTCAGGGGCTGAGAACCCCAACACCCATCAACCCTTTCATGGGGGTGGTGCCCTGAGACAGAGACAACCTGGTCACAGAAGAGACGATTTCCACCTCCCTAGGAAATCTTCCACTGCAAGAAGCCAAAACAGGGAAAGAGAAAAAAAATCTCCAGCGCTACCTACTGGAAAACAAAAGAAAGACCTCTTCATATTAACCTGCTGCAGAATTTATTCTTGTGGATGAGCAAGAAGATACAAAGTAATCAATAATCATGAATCACCAAGGTAACAATGGGGCTCAAAAATAAAAAATCCCCAGAAAATAAACTTAAAGACATGGAAATATGTGACTTAAGTGAAAGAGAATTCAAAATTGCAATTCTAGAAAAACTCAACAAGATGCAAGAAAACTCAAATAGGCAGCATAATGAACTCACACAAAAAAATCAAAATGAATACTTTACAAAAGAGACTGGAACTTATAAAAGAACCAAATAGAAATTCTAGAGCTGAATAATTCAATGAAAGAGATGAAGAATGAAATAGCCAATTTAGGAAATAGAGCTGACCATATGAAGGCAAGAATTAGTGATATCAAAGATAGAAATCTAGATATGCCACAGATGGAAGAAGAGAGAGACTTGAGAGTTAAAACAAGTGAAAGAACTCTACAAGGACTATCTGACTCCATCAGAAAGAACACTATAAGAATAATCAGTATACCAGAAGGAGAAGAGGGGGAGAAGAGCACAGAGAGTCTATTCAAACAATCGATGATAACATTCCAAACCTACAGAAAAACTGGATCCTCAAATTAAAGAAGCAAACAGAACACCTAAGTACCTCAATCTCAACAGGCCTCCTCCAAAGCACATTACATTGAAGCTGTCAAATACTAATGACAAAGAAAAAATTCTCAAGGCACCCAGGGAAAAGAAGGCAGTAACTTACAAAAGAAAGCCCATCAGAGTTGTCAGCAGAAGCTCTACAAGACAGGAGTGAGTAGAATAAAATATTCACACTATTGAAAGACAGAAATTACCAGCCAAGAATGATATATCCAGCAAAGTTATCCTTTAGATATGAAGAAGGAATAAAGCCCTTTCCACACATACAGAAGTTGACGGAATTTTCCACCACAAGGCTTGAATTACAGGAAATACTGAAGGAGGTCATTCAACCTGAAACAAAAAGTCAAAAGGATACAAAACCATGAGCAAGTTTACTAACAGACAGACAGAAGCAGAAAATGGCAACCCCTAGACAGAATGGGGCACTATACACTTAAGCAGAACATAAAGGGTAAAGAGGATAAAAACATTTAAAAAAGAAAGACAAAAGAAGGCAATTTGCTACTCAGAAATAAACTCACAGCATACATAGGGATAATTTGTGATAATAAAAACATAAAAAGGGAGGGGGTAAACATCTGAATTTGCAAAAGGGAATAGAGATAAGATGCGTGCTGAAGAAAGACTACTGTATATATGAAATTTTCTTTTACATAAACTTAATGGTAACCACTAGAAAAAAATCCAGAACTGAGACACATAACAAAAAACAGGAAACAGAGGGAAAAATCATAGACTACCACCAAACTAAAATAACAGACAGAAACACAAGGGCAAAGAAACAATGGAGAGGGCCAGATGAGTGGCTCAGTTAGTCAAGAGTTGGCTTAAGAACACGGGCTCTGGGCCGGCCGAGTGGCGCGTTGGTTAAGAGCTTGGGATGCCACCACTGAGCAGCAGGGCCACGGTTCAGATCCCACATGAGGGCCAATGACGCTGCACCCTCTACAGCTAAGATGGTGAACAATAGCTCGACCTGGAGCTGGGCTTCTGTGAATCACCAGCAATGGCGTAGGCTCCAGTGAGGCTGGCTGACAGCTGGCATGCACTTTCGTGAGCCGTCAGGAGTAGCCATCCAATGGCCGGGGAGCGACTGCCTCACACGGGAAGAGCGCAATGATAATACCAACATGGGCCAGTGAAGTGGCATCCTCCACAACGAGACTAAAGAACAAAAGGACAGCAACATGTCTGTTCCCCTCCCCCAATTCCCCAATAAAATCTTTAAAAAAAAAAAAAAGAGTTCAGGCTCTGAGCAATGGGGCCGCCAATTCAATTCCCACATGGGCCAGCGATGCTGTGCCCAAGCTGAGCTGTCGCTGAGCTGCTAACAGGTGGCAGGATGGCTCAGCTGGTGTAACAAGATTGCCTGTTCGATGGTGGTCTATACCCACCCGCAACTAAGACTAAACTTGGCACCTTGAGCTGAGCTGCCATCCAGACGGCTCAGTGGATAGGGCATGTGCTCTTAACAACAAGGCTGCCAGGTTCAACTCCCACATGGGATGGTGGCTACACCCACCCACAACTAAGACTGAACTCGGCAACTTGAGCTGAGTTGCCGACCAGATGGCTCAGTGGATAGAGCATGCACTCTTACAAGGCTGCTGGTTGGACTCCTGCATGGGATGGTGGCTACTCCCACCTGCAACTAAGATTGAACACAGCACCTTGAGCTTAGAGGCCATGAACTGCCGATAGGAAGCCAGATGGCGACTGGCGCCCTCCACAACAAAGATTGAAGAACAACAACTTGGCTAGTCCCCTTCCCCAATTCTCCAACACTGTTCTCCTCCCCCAATTCCCCAATAAAAAATCTTAAAAAAAAAAAGAAAAACAAAAGAAAGAAACAATAAAGACACTGAGCTACCAGAAAACAAAAGGTAAAATGGTTATAGAAAAATCCTCGTATATCAATAATCACCCCAAATTTACATGAACTGAAATAAAAACAGATAGAGTAGCCGATTGGAACCAAGAACAAAACACAACTGTATGTTGCTTTCAAGAGATACATCTCAGGCCGGCCGAGTGGCGCGGCGGTTAAGAACTGGCTTGGGAAGCCAGAGGGCCCTGGTTCGGATCCCACATATGAGGGCCATTGACACTGCCCTCTACAGCTAAGATGCTGAAGAACAAAACGACAGCAACTTGTCTGTTCCCCTTCCCCCAATTCCCCAGCACTGTTCCCATCCCCCCAATTCCCCAATTAAAAAAAAAACCTAAAAAAAAAAAGAGATACATCTCAGCAATAAGGACAAATACAGTCTCAAAGTAGAAGGGTGGAGAGTGATACTTCAAGCAAATGACATCCAG